ACCATCATCATCATCATCATCACAACTGTAGCAAAAAGAAGAACAATAACAATACCACTAATAATGTTACTAACAATAACACTACTAAGAACAGTCGAAATCATGAGAACAATGAATGCCAACAACCCCATCTGTCCCCTAAAGCTCGCAAGGATGGCCATCTGCCGCTTCTTCCTGGCCTGCGCTGCTGCCGCTTACGAGGGTCATAAGGCGCAAGCAAATGTTGGGATGGAGTTTCAGGTTTCTTTGCTAAGGGATTTCAACAGGGTTTGGCGTACTTCATACTGTACTCTTGCAGGGGCTCTAAAGGCAAGCACATACCAAATACATACTACATTCGCGTCGGTTCGGTCGAAGCGGTCAGAGTATCTCACAACGATTCCCTGTTTCCCCCCTGTTTCCCCACCTTTTCATCGCTTCTCACTCACCCACCCCTCCTTATCCAGGCTGGCTGACCCGCCCCCCGCCCGCCTCCCTAAAGAAATGGATCTGGCATACGTCCCATAAATTCTGTTGAGCTCGCCCCCCCGCCGCCGGCTTCCCTCGTCTCTTCCTTGCCAGGACGGGCCAGCTTACAGCATTCGTGAAGCTGATGCCAAAGCCTGGGGAATTCGCTGGTGGCCCGTACTTTGTTGCTAAGCTTGATTCATCTGCCAACATAGGGGAGGTTGTCTACGAGACCAGTGAGAAGTGTAGTAACGTCTATGGGATAATGCAGGATCTGCCACCTTTCGCGTGGGATCATTGCTCAGAGCCTCAGCATGACAACAAATACTGACATTAAAGAAGCATTCTGAAACAAATGCACTCATTCACTCAAGACCTCACCTGTGTGACCTACCTGCTGCTTTCCGAAACAATGCACGTGCTTCAAGTACAGCCGGGCCGAGGCGGACGACGCGAAGCGATTCAAAAAAGTCAGTCAGACACACCCACACACACACATATATATATATACACACATATATATATACATATAAAAAAATCTATATATGTATGTATGTATGAATGTATGTATTTATGTATGCATGTATGTATGTAGCTTGTGGCGGCAAGGTCGTCTGGAGAGTGCAGTCCTTCAAGTAAGTTCCCGTGGCTTTGATTTTATTTGCCATCCTGGCGAGTCTCGTAGTAGGGTATGACGGGCTTCGGATGATGGTGTAATTAGATTAAAAAGGCGCCTTCCGCACCAGGCACTCTGGACTCTAAACGCAACCAGACTCCGTGTCGAAGGGTACGGGTGCAGGTTTGGGGCTTGCGGAAACTCCGTCTGCGGACTTCGCGGAGGGCCCGGGATTGGTCCAGAGAACACATACATATGTTCAGATAGATGTGCGGGGGTGAAGCAACACATAAGCATAAACATGCTTAATCGTTGAAACATCAACACGAATATACATGTAAATATGCGTATACAGACGAAGCTACATAAACAAGCAAGCCCTAAGTTACCCCAAGGCCCCCGAAGCTCGATGCGCCTGCTCATAGGTCTTCCGCACTTCCTTGTCTTCCTCTGCAATGGCCAGGGCCCCTTCGACCTCAGTCGTCTCTTTTTCAGGTTTTACATGCTATTCTCGCACACATGTACATATACACACATGTACATATATATGTGTATATCTATATATATATATATATCTATGGCCTAAAGTTATCAAGTGCTGCTTCATACTCCTCTCAAGGCTCTTGCTGTATCTCATTCCGCCATTCTATACATGCTTTGCCAAAGCCCACCAGAGTGACGGTCATAATGCCACATGCTCCGCATCATCCGTGCACGCCCGGATGCCATGATGGCCGTCACGAGGTTCATGAGGGCAATGGACAAGACCAGGAGAACCTGAGAACCAAGAGGCTTGTTTCTCGCATGGGAATGGACCGAGCCCTCTCAAAGGATGCATCTACATCGATCCGTCGAGTCTTTCTGGGCCACCTTTGTGACGGTCGGCCTCAAGCCCTACACACCAAAACCCAAAACCTTGAACCCTGCAAAGGACAACAAAAATCAACCAACTCTGGCTGAGGGCAGTTTCGCAGGGAGAGCACCGGGCACTTGGGCGAGGCTTTCGGGATTTACGGAGGGTTGTATCCTTCCTTGAAGTATACGGGAATCTACCGGGCTTGGTAAGATTTTCTTCTAGGGTCTTCGAGACTTTCAGGGACGTTTCGGGTGTCTGTCTTGGGTTTGTCGAGTTCAGGGCGACCACAAACCATGGCCTCAACCCTAAACCCCTGAACCCTAAACCCTGAACCCTAAACCATAGACCTAAAGCCTAAACCCTAAATCATAAACCTAAAGCCTAAACCTCTAAACCCTAGAGCCCTAAATCCTAAAGCCTAAACCCTTTACGCATTCTAGTATGAGAAAAACGCCAAAACCCTATGTTCTAATCATTAAGGCCCCTTTTAACATCTTTGGGACTCGATGCTGTCTTGGAGGCTCAGTACTGTCTGGCCAAAGGCAGTCGCAACCAGGCCATCCCTACACACTGCGTGAGCTGTCCCAGACTAGCAGCCCCTAAACCCTAAACCCCAAGCCCTGAAACCCTAAGCCCCTAAGCCCCTAAAGCCCCTAAAGCCCCTAAAGCCCAAAACCCCAAACCCTGCGTGAGCTGCCCCAGACCAGCAGCCGTCATGAAGTAGAAGAAAAGGAGAGGTCTCTGCTGGATCAGCGGGCGGTAGATGGTTCCGATGCCTGCAGTCGAGAAACGCTTGGGGTCAGAAAGTCTTGAACAAATAAATAAGGGAGTATAGAATTAGAAAATAAACACATATAAGTTTGCTAAGTATAAATATAAACAGATGCATGTATGTATGTATGTATGTATGTATGTATGTGTATATATATATACACACATAGATAGACTAACATGTAATGTTTGTATGTTCATCAAAAACTTCCGTACAACAACTTTTTGCAGATCATGCCGAGGCCAAACACCAACGGACTCACTAATTGTTGAAGGCAAGATCGAGGCTACACTCATTCTTCTGACGGCCTGTTTTTCCCTGGAAGCAGTGAAAAGGCTTCTGCAGCCTTATTCGGCTCTGCTCCTGCAATGACCGCTCTTGGAAAGCTTATGCGCTGTGGGGAGCCATGAAGACTTGAGAGCAAGTGGCTATCGAAGGTAAAGAGCTGCATAAGCGTAAACATCGCGTCGTCAAGCGCTCCAAAGTTCTCGACAACCTGAAGTTCGCGGGATGCTCAGAACTCCGATGGGCAATGTAATGTAGAGGCCTGAATAATTAGAACAGGGCTTTGGGGTATTACTATGCTATAATTACAATAAGGAGCCCCTAAAATAGTGTTGGTAGTTTTTTTAAGCCCCTAGAAGTAGTGTGGTTTCGGGAGCAATGCGGATGCTGTCGGACGGTGGTCGTGCCACTGCACGTAGTACTGATAAGAAGAACATTGCTGAGGATGGCGGTCATGATGATAGCAATGAGCCCCGAAGGAAGCTGAAGAAAACAACACTGAGGCATCTCAGCTAGTCTAGCCTTCTTCTCTCTCTTTTTTTATCGCGCTTCTTTCTCCTTCTCCTTACCTCTCTCTCTTTCTCTCTCCAGGCTCATCTCTTTGAGACGGCTACCAAGATGCGGGCGCCCAAAAAGGCCCCGCAGAGCTCGGGGCTTGGACTTCGGAGCTTCGGCTGAGCTCGCGGCTGCGAGGTTGTAGGGATGGTCTGCCGGCAGAGACAAGTCGTAGGTGATCATGTCCATTCTGCCAAGAGGTTTAGGGTTTAGGGTTTAGGGCAAGAAGGTATGGCTTCCCAAAAGGGCTTGGAGGGCTCATTCAAGAGATCAGGGGTTGCAGTAAGGAGGCTGGGTAGGTGCATCTACAAGCTTTGACATCCCCAACTCAGGAAATACAGAACTCTACTTAGAACTAACCATGAACTTTCAAGTAGGATTACGGTAGCCGCAGCCACATTTAAATAGCTGAACCCTGATTCCCTAAACCCCAGACACACACACACAGATGAATGACCGTAACGACCGTAATGGTTGTCATGACCATTCGGAACATTACGATCTTTATGATGACGTGGTCATAACAATGATAATACTAAACACACCACCACCACCACTACCACTACCACTACCACTGCCACTGCCACTGCCACTGCCACTGCCACTGCCACTGCCACTGCCACTGCCACTACCACCACGACCACGACCACGACCACGACCACGACCACGACCACTACCACTACCACTACCACTACGACTACTACTACTACTACTACTACCCATGCAACGAGCAGTAGTAGCGCCCTGAGGCTTCAAGTCAGGCCCTGGCCCGGACTCCAAGCCGAAGAGAGAGGGCCTCTCACCCTAAAGCAGCTTTCAAAAAAAAGAAAAAGACTAGACTAGACTATACTATACAAAATTGGTGGTAGGGTTTCGGGTTTAGTCCCAAACTAGACTATTTTATATACTGTACTCTCCTGTACTCTTGTATACTAGACCATGCTATAAACATACTTACTTGGAACATACCACAAGACTCTACAGCGCACTCTAAGCCTCAAAGACACGAAGGCAACCTATACACTTAGAGCCACTTACCTTCAAGCATATAATGTAGGGGCCTTAATAATTAGACTAGGGTTCCTCTAAAGGGCTCCTATAAGGGTTAATTGCTATAACTAGGGGCCTTAATCATTAGAATAGGGCTTTGGGATATTTTATACTATAGTCATAACAAGGAGACCCCCCAATAGTATTGGTATTTATTGAGGCCCCTATACTACTGTTGATGATATAAATCCTGCATTACCTTAAGGACCCTAAACTATGGGAATTATGGTATATTCCTTACTATGGGTAATGCAGGATTTATACCATCAACCGTACCTCCAAGGCCCGAAGCCTCAATGACCTGACTCTGAGGTCCTGGCCCAAACAGCGCCGCGATGTAGGAGAGTATACCTGTGAGAAGACGAGCTCGCAGCCGTTGCAGTTAGGGTTTTGGGTTTAAGGTTTTTTCTTTTTTTTTAAAGCGGGGGTTAATGTTTAGGGGGTAGGGATTAGGTACGACGCTGAATGGAAGGGCCCCCGTGCCATGCGCAGCAACCCTTCGCCAGTGAATGCATCATGTACCGTGGCCAAGTGGCTAATTAGCAAGAAGGTCCAGAACAGCGTGTTGGCCTTGGCAAGCGGAAGCTAGGCACGAATGAGTATGCAGAACAAGACCTCAAGGACTTGCCAAAACCGAACCCGGCAAGCATGGGCATGGGACCTCTGTCAGCTGGGGTCCCAACCGAAAGACCCTAAGCTGTATCTGAGCATGCTTTAACCATTGCGCAGTGTGCATGCGGAGTATGTTGTTCGATTGCTTTTTGTTGTCTATTATGTCTTGCAGGCTCTGATTCTCACTGTCGCTTCTCTCTTTCTATGTAATGTAACAATGGAATGGAATATATAAATGGATACCTACGCAAAAGCCAACACACGCCGAATGCAGCAAAGACACAAACAAACGTACACACAAACAAACAAAGAAACAACCAACAAAAACAACCGCGGAAACACACAAACAAAGACAGACACAAAGAAACCTCAAACGAATCTAGAAACACAAACAATCACACAAACAAACACACAGCCAACCAACCAAGCAAACACGCAACTACAAGCACGCAAGCGAAACAACAAACAGAACACAAACAAACACGCAAACACACGAAACAAACAGCTAAGCAAACAAACAAACAAACACACAACCAACAAACAACCACCCAACAACAAACAAACACACAAGCAAGCACACAACCAAACAAACAGGCAACCGACCGACCAACCAACCAACCAAACAAACACAGACGCACACATACAATCACAAAGAACAAAACTAGCAAACACAACCACACAAACATAAGCGAACAAACAAGCAAGCAAACAAACAAACAAACAAACACAAACAACCACAAGCAACCAAAAGCAAACACAAGCAACTGCAAGCAACCACACGCAAACACAACACGACACAAACAAACAACCGCAACAGCAAACACAACAAAACGACACACAACAAACCAGACCAACAAAAACACACCAATGAACCAACCGACCAGCCAGCCAAACAAGCAACCAACCAAGCAACCAACCAAGAAACCAACCGAGAAACCAACGAAGCAACCAAGTAAGCAACCAAGCAAGAAACCAATCAGCAACCAACCGTGCAATCAAGCAACCAAACATTCAAAAAAAACAAATCACAAACACACAAAAACAACCAACCAAACAACCAAACACACGCACAACCAATCGACCGACCGACCGACCGACCAACCAACCGACCAAGCAAGCAAGCAGCAAGCAGCAAGCGCGCAAGCAAGCAAGCGAAGAAAGAAACAACAACACAAACAAAAAAACAGACAAACACAACACAAAACAAACAAACAGACAGACAGACAGACAGACAGACCAACAAGCAAACAAACACAAACACACACACACAGACAGAGACAGAGACAGACACACACACACACACAGACAGAGACAGACA